ATTTTGAATGGGCACGTTAACGACGTATTTTGGAGTCCACGTACTTTCCCCGGGTTGGTGATGAGCAAAATCGGTCTTGTGGTTGTTCTTGTAAAAAGTGTAAAACCAAGAGCAAGACGAAGATCAAGACTACCATAGTTTTGGCCTTGGTCTCGCATTTGCTGGTCGCTACTTCGAACTCGGGATTTTTAAGATGGCAGTCGGTCATGTTTAGGTACTTAACGTTACGGTCAAGAAAGATGAAACACAACTACCGGCAAACATCCAACAAGATTCAAGCTCATCGAGGTAGGATCCTCGGTGATCCACTTGCTCGCTCTGATCGATCTTTAAAACCCAAAGAAACTCCATCCGCGACTTGAAAAACCGTCAAGTTACGACTTCCGGCGCGAGCCGGCCTCAATTTCCGAAATCGTATGAAAATCGAGTAAACCCTGAATGGGCACGAAAGTTCACTGTCGGTTGTTAAGGGCGCTCACCACCCCAGCGATTTGGCAGGGCCTCACGGGGACAACGATTTTGAGCGTATTTCTAAACCGATCGAGCTCAACGAGTGCTCATATTAAAGATGAAATGTTGACCCGTGTTTACATGGGAGCGATTTCCGATAAGTGGTCATTTTCAAATAAGAAAGTCTTACGACATAATTCGAATGTTCCTTTAACTAGGAAGGAGTTGCGCTATCGAAAATCTCTCCCATATGAACACACTTTAAAGTGAGCTTGATCGGTTGAGAAATACGTCCAAAATCGTTGTCCCCGTGGAGCACCTTTTTCGTGATTTTCGGGTTCCTCGCGAGGAATTTGAGCTCTCCTTGACAACCGCTGCCAAATCTAGGCGGCGCGTCCAACTGGCGGGAGCGTGCGTCGGGTGACACGCACGCTTCGACGCCAAGTCAGAGTCGTCTAGCCGTTGCGTGAGTCCTATAGGTGTAAGGCACGCACATATTTTTCGACCGTCGCTAAACACCGCCCATTACGCGTCGTATCTCCCTTATCCGAGCGAGAAAGAAAGTTTTGATTACCCCCCACCGAATTCGATGCCATTGCCATCTAGCGGTGGAAGTCGTCGTTCCCACTTTGGTGGTGAACGTCGTTAAAAGCCATCGAATTCAGATAAGTTCCGGAAAAGTGGCCGAGGAAAGTCGAGGATTCGCCCTGCTCTGGTTTCAAGCTCGACCGATTCCGGCGGAAAGTCGATACTAAGAGCGCAATTAGGATTAATTCTTGCAGCCGCCCTCTCTTCTACCCTGTAATTTCACCCCGATCCGCCTTGGACAAGTCCGCCCCCGCGATTGTTACACGAGCGAGGGCTCGACGATCCTCGCGAACGGCACTTAACGGCGGGGGGCGAGAAGGGCCGTACTTTAAGCTTTAACAGCGAGTCGTTATTCGTGCTCGCTTACAGGAGGCGCGAAATGCCTCGCATTACCGATCGTCGATCGTTCCTTCCGCAAGCGTGCGAACCCGGCTCGCCACCCGCCGGCCTTAATGAATATTCGAGTGCTTAAGGTGATATGAAAGGCGACGAGAAATTTAATCGACGTCGGTAAAAAGGAATCCCTATATACCATCCAACTGATAGACTATCTAAAACTGAGCGCCGCGTTACCTACGTTTAAATTTATATTGTTTTCTGTCGCACGATGCAAATTATACGAGATGGGATACTTCGTATGTCATTTCAGTAGAGTGATTATGAACGGATCTAAATAAAATTCAAGAAATCCGATGGATTCGTTATTTTTGATAGTATGACCATGACCTCACCTGCTGTATTCAGCGGCAACTAATTTTTTGCTTCCAGAGAAGGTACATTGAACGGATTACCTATGTCGTACACCTCAAATTCGGGGATACACTTTTTTCTCTTTTTCGTCGGGTTCAAATGTATAACTTCTGATGGACATGTTTCAAATGAGTGAGCATACTTCCTGATATTCTAACAAGGGAGGTATCCCAGGCCGATCTCTCCGATTTGATTTCTTTTATGATATGTTATAGTAGACTAAAATCTAAGCGACACGTATTTTTTTTTATCTGCCATTAAACACTTTAAGGGGGTGAAATCACCATCCAAAGTAAGGCATGTCAAGGGGCGATTTGGCAGTTTCACCCACAAGAACATAATACTTTTTAACCAATCCACCTGGAAAAGCTTTCTCACAACGAGAAATAAAAAATATAATTTTCTGAATTAAAAAAAAATTAAGGGGTGAGCCACCCCTCACAGGCCTCATTTGGGGTGGTGGTTTCATCCTCTTAAATTGTTTAATGGCAAATAAAAAAAATACGAGTAGCTTAGTTTTTAGTCTACTATAACATATTATAAAAGAAATCAAATCGGACAGATCGACCTGGGATACCTTCCTTGTGAGTTGTTACTTTAGATCCTTCGAGAAGTGAATAACCGCAAACACATGACATTGTGGTTTTGGTCTCTGTTACATAAAAAAGGTTAAAAAAAAACGTATTTTTTGAGTGGCAGGAACGGTCTCGGCACTTTCACAGTTGCATGTTAAAATTTCAGATAGCTCTGTTCATCCTCTTTCAAAAAATGTGTATCCGCGCAATTGACCATTCAAAGCCACCTTTCACATCATTTTAATGTCACGATACTTCACCGAGGAGTGTAAAAAATGAGGAACGAAAAATTACGCAGGTAAAGCATGAAAAATCGGAAATATGGTTTCTAAATATTCGTGTAGGTACGCACGCGCGAATTTTACAGAGTCTCATTTGTTTTGGCAGTGGGGTAAATGTTATGCTTATTCAAAAATTATGCTAAAATGTGCCTCATTAGTACGGGATAAATTTTGTGACAAAGCACTGTGCGGGGCAGTGAATGTTTTAACGACGCAATTGCATTGTTTGCCATAAAGTAATTAAAATTAATAGCTTTTGCTAAATTTTTGCTTTACTCCCGGTTTGAAAATTCGAGGGTATACATTTTTTGTTAGTTAGTTGGACTGAGCGGTTTAAGATATATTTTTGGGGTTGTTTTTCAGAAATTTTGTGGTACCGAGCGGTAGAATTAAAATGGCTGCAACAGAGAGGACGGGTTTACTTACCTTCGATTTTACTGCGAAAAAGAGCTTTTATCGTGTGTTTTGTTAATGTATTTCTACAATACCTTAAAGTTTTCCTTCTTTAATTTCAGTCACTATTACACGTTCTTAATGATAGCACTGTATCGTGTACATTACTATATTACACTATAACGTAACTTCTGTGCAGTTTCTCAGGGTGTCGTGGAGAATGATTAAAATCACAACAAAAATACTATGGCATAACTTCCTGATAATATAAGAAAATAAAAACAGCGTAACATCAACTATGCTATGTATGGATTGTGCTTTGTCACAAAAAATCCTCGTCGTGCGCTTTAAGGTTCTTATCGTAAATGTCTAATGTCTTATTTAGGAAAACTTCATTCAATTAGAATTGTCAATTCCTCTCCTTTGGTGTGTTCATGATAACCAAAGTTATAATAGCCATGTTAGGGCACGATCTACAGAAATTACAAATCGATTTTAGTAAGGGTCACTTCGTATCAAGTTGAACGAAGTTTGAAGCTACTTTGCCATTCGAATATGTCGCGGTATCGCGGACACCGTAATATCACAAAATTAAATTTAATTCCTTATGCACAATTTCGGATATTTATAAATGGACACGTCTGGCGGAAGGCGCAGGAAAGGATTGCGTGCATGGAAATGAAATCCGAGCACCTGGGAATGGGTTTATTGAACTTTCGCGTCACAGAATTCGGCTTGCATGCAACTATTTTCGCTGATCGGAAAGGGACATTTGAGGGAATATTGTCATCTCTTTCGAATTCAAGCCCTTTCCCATGGTCGGAAACTCAAGTTGCTTGACGCTCATATTGCTTTCCGGAACTCGTGCAGCCGAGCGGATGTAGGTGTTATACGTCGTTGTCGCGCGTGGGTTTTCCACGTCAACTGTATTCAATTTTCACCTCGCAAGACTTGGACCCGAATGGCATTTCTTCCGTTACCAAAAATCAGCGTAAATAAGCGTACACCCTCAAATGTTTAATTTCCAATCATTTCCATAATTTCCATAAATTACGTTTAATTTCATTATACCCAATCTCTTTGACTCCCTCTTTTCAGAATTTTTCTCCGACGTAAAAATGCCTACTTTCCGGCAGGTATCCATTTTTCCCGACTAACCCTATAATCGGATGTGCATTAGGAAACGTCTAAAGGACACTTTACATCCTTTCCGTAATACCGCGACATGCCGATAAGCACGGTACCTCCAAACATCCTTCGAGTCAGCGCGAGCGACCCTGACTCGCGGAGAACGAGTAAAAAATTGACGGCAACGGTTCAGAAAAAAAATCTGCCTTCGTTTAATGGCGAACATACAAATTTAAATTAGACGTGTCATTACGGCGCAATGAAGGAAACTCTTCATAGCCATTAGAAACGCCCTACATACAGTACCGGAAGAAATGGCGCGACGAAGAGGCACGTCTGTCTCATAGGGTGCGTCAACGTCCACTCGGACCACTTCGGATCGGTATCGACTTATCCCCCGTATCGATTCGCTTACAAACAGCTCCATACTTACAGGACACCGTGTGTGTTTTCTGCGTTTAGAGTACGAGATTACACATTATACAATATGTTACACTGAAAGCGATAGTCGTTGCACTTCGTGACTTGGGTCCTCCGTGCGCTTCCATGACGGGATTTCTCGCCGACATCTCGCAAGTACCGAGCTGGCGTCGGTACTTGCACCGGTAAAGCGGTCGTTTGTCGGCGAGGTTTACCGACTTCCGGTAGGGTGCTTCCGGTCTCCTTGCTCCCGTCGACGGCGACGAGCGTTAAACGACACTTGCTCGCTCCACTGCCAAAACGGCCCGTCCCGTTGCCAATGCGCCGCTCCTTCTTGCCCTCCTTCGCCTATCAATTGTCCGTGAGATAATTGCACAGATTTTGCGGGGCTTCGCGTGCTTCGCGACGCCGGAACTTCCGGTTTATCGGATCACTCCGACCGCCATCAGGCCGATCAGCAGGAACGTCCATCTTGTCGTGGTTCTCGTGGCGAGGTCTGTAACGAGAGGGTGCGGTTAGTCCCATATGAATGGAATAAACGGGACGAATGAAATTTAGTTAACAACATTGGAGGGTTCGAAAGTAAACTTCGTAATCCGTGAATCGTCCTTCCGTTTCTACTTTAGGTTTCGATAAGTTTGCCCGAAGAAACTCGATTTCCAACGTTTCGCGTCTCGGTGTTCTTATAAGGAAGTTAATGGGGTACATCGAGTAATCTCTAATTTTCATTTCGTACGGTATACTCCTCTGTACACAAAGGTGAATTGCTCGAGGAGGGTACATTTCATATTTTATTAATATATATTTCTTTTTAATTGCTCGACTTCGTTCCATTTCTCCCCTGTTCTATACGCAATACTTGGCGCAATGATTTGCGGAGGAAAGGTAATGAAGAATAATTCACGACTCCGTGGAACCTGGTGAAAAGGGATCTCCCGGAGCCGCCCAGGGTGTAACGTTAGAAGAGCTCTCAGGATGGAAGGGACCGAAGTAATTTCGAAGTACGAGTCGAGGAGGTCTTCCGAATCACTATGGCCTATGTACCCCATTCCCCTGGAGCTTGGCGCCATATACCAGGTGAAGTCCGGTTTCGAGACCATCTACCAATTATCACACGTTCCAATTACCGTGGAGATTCCACTCGCTTTAAGTGCCGGCTTCCGGAGAATGAAATCGATCCGAACGAGTAAGCTCGATTAATTCCCCGATTGTCCAAGAACTCTGTTCCTCGGACTAGGGACGATTCGCGGACCTTGAGTTTTCACGTCCTCGAGGAGATCGAGCGAAGCCATGAATTTCGAGATGCACTTGCATCGATTACAACTCTTGGAAGTCTAGTTGTAAGAGGATATGAAAGGCGCTGAGAAATTTAATCGGCGTCTATATAGTAAAATTCATCTATACTCTTTTTGGGGGTAATGCCGTTTTGAATACTCAAGTGGGAACATAAGCTGGCGCGTCCCATTACCGACATTTATATTTATGTTGAAGTCTTCTACAGTCTATGTTGAAAATTATACGAACCGAAGGGTTCTGTATGTCATTTTGATGAAGTAATGATAAAAAGATCGATGTAAAACTACCAAAATCCCATGAATTCATGACTACATTGACGAACCAACGTCGCCATCTGTGACGTTTAGTTGCAACTAAATTTTTCCTTCAAAAACACGTGTTAACCGCAAGACAAGCCAGCATGCAATTGTTGGTGAAAGTATTTACCACACTGTCCCATCTGACTCTGTAATATTCCATTTTTACGGTATTTTAAATTATTCGAACTAGGTCCTGAAACTCTTAATTTTCAATTCTAAGCCTCCAAGAAGCGTAAAGAATCGAAAACGTGCACGGACCACGCCATGCTGGTTCTAGTCCATGACAAGTAAATAAATTTTGGATGAAAAATGACATTTTATAAGTTTCAGGACCTACTTTAGGGCCTCCATATCCACGTGGTAAAATATGAAACGAATTGGTACACCCAATTCGGAGAATATTGGCCCCAACGATTCTTTATAGGCCGATTCTTTCATGTCACCTTAAGGAAGCAAAAATACCTCCCCGAACTCGGTCAAAATTAATCCGAACATTTTCAGACGATACAGAAGTGATCAAGAAGTTCTCCGTGATAAGTAAAGATTGGATGACTGTAATTCATGTTATTTACGGTATATTTCTGGTTCCACGAAGAAGCGATGGTGGGTCGAATTTCTGGGGAAAACTTTTGTAATACTTTATTATAAATATGAGAAACAAAATCGAATTTATTCTATCGTTCACGGCTGATCGGGTAATTCGAATTGACGATAATCAATGACACGGAATATGATGTACAAGAGCATCACGGTAAAAGAAACGAGCTGTTTATAATTGGGACAAATAACAACTCGTTATTGGTCACAACTTTTTCACCGGCATGAACGTATAAAATTCCAGAGTTTGGAAATTAATCACCGTCAAGTGAATACTTGAATTTCAACCTCGGGTTGATACTCCAGGTCTGCGTCGAGAATGAAAATAACTTTTTAGTTCGTTGGATGTCTCAGTCCTTCAATGGAGTACCATTTTTTGTCAAGTTCGAGACTGACTTCCGTTCTGCCTTCAATTTGCGCTCGATACTTTGTCGTGGGGGTATATAAACTCTGCTTCAGAAGGTAACGTGGGTTTCAATTATCTCAGGTTAGCTGTTTGCCATCTGATGATACGCGAATAACATTCCTAATTAAAATTCAGGAGTTGCAGAATAAACCGTGACTTTTTTCTAGGCATCCCTGTCCTTGTATTCAGATTTCATGCGCGCTCGTGACACTCAATTTTCCCCAACAAATTTTGCCCTGAACGGGATCAAGGATTCAAGGATGGCCGTAACCTGTAATAATAACTGAACGGTTCACCAATCACACGAACATAATTCAACAATAATTAACTCAACACGCCGAATGGCAGTGAAGCCTCTTCGGGAGAGACCCCGAGGCTGTTTAACGCATAATGGGCTGCTACTACTAGGGAACAAATTACACACGTAGTTGCCATTCACATTAGCTGCCGTCTGTTATAGTTATAATTGCAGGGAATTGAGCAAAATTATCGCCGTGGTTGAAAACGACGTACTGCCGGTGAAGTATTAACGAATGAATTTTGCGCCAATTCTAAATCGGACTGACCTGAAGTTTGGCAAAAATATAAAAAGAAGTATTGCGGTATACAGATTTGGAGAATGAATTTAAAGGAATAAAGTCTTATCCCAAACAAAAACAAAAATTGGAATCACGAGTAGAAGGCATCAGTTTCAAGGAACCTCTCTAGAGTTAAGGGTAAAAAGTAGGACGATCTTTGGGATAAAAAAAGAAACTACACATCTTATTAATATTATAGATATGTTTATCTATATTCTAAGGCCCCCAGTATTTTTTTCAAGCACAAATATTGCATTTTTTGGAGCTATACGTAATTTGTTGGAACGTTTCAAAACAACAAGACTTTTACTCTGCATGGGCTATAGTTGGAACTAGGATTATCTAAAACTATCTAAAAATACTGAAATGACGGCATCTGGAGAGAAACGTTTTACTTTGATGCAAGAGTTCATTTTTTGAGTCGTAAATTTTGAAGTTTGCATCAATTGAAAAGCTTCTAGTTCCGGCAACAGTTATAGATACACATTGAACATAACTGCAAGATTTCAAATATTCCCGATCATCCATTTTCGGGATATTTTTAGGCTATTCCAGGGTCATACGGGCAACTCTTTTCTCTTCCCGACAAGGCTCTTTTTTCGATAAAAAAAAAATCAATTTTCGCAACTTTTAGCACTAGAGAGACCTCTAAAACATTGCGCAAAACTCCCAGCAATGACCGCACAAGGGTTTACTTGATGAAAAGTTCCTTTTTCTCAATCAATTTACGACATCCTCTAAAACATACTTCTGCAAAAAAAATGTACCGCATATTTTTTTTGCAGTTTACCCATTAAGGGACAGTGCCGACGTCCCTCCGATATCGCGGAAGGACCTGCCTTTATTTCGTAATTTCTCCAGCACAACAGGAGCGTCCTCAATACCGGGACTTCACGCTCCCTGACTTCCCGAAATCCCCGATCTCCCACAAGAAGGGAGGAACCTCGAAGACGCAAGCAGGGCTTAAGGTCGACACAACGCGGAAGTTTTCCGCAATGAAAATCCGCGCCGACTTCTCGGAATCGCGGCCTGGGCGTGGGGAGGCCAAGAGGAGAGAGAGAGAGAGCCCGGTTTTTCTTACGGTCGGCCTCCTCTCCCTTTGGCTATTACTCGCTTCAAGAGAAATGTATTCTTCGCCGCTCTTTCTGGCCTCACTCATCTCTAATTACGAATGAGAAGCACAAGTCGGCCTCCAGCCGAAGCTGCGCCGCCGGACCACCCTTCGCGGCCCTCGCCGGGACGGAGAATACCACCCCTAACAGTTCCGCCGAGAGTTCCTCGCTTTGCTGCTTTTGTCTGCTTTCCTATCGGCCTCCCTCTCCCCCTCCATCCCTCCCGCCGGTTCTTCCCGTCTTTCCAGACCTGCCGAAAATTATTCTCTCTTTTCCCGTTCCGCAAACTCGCGCGCCACCCCCGCCATTAGGTGGCCGCGCCGAACGCACGATTCACGGAAGGCGCCCTCGTCGTGATCGGGCCGGGAATTGCGGGCGACCGGCGCTTCTCGCGCGTACAAACAATTTTAATTGAGAAAGAAAACGAGGGGCCAGGCTCGTTCTCGTATCGCAACCCCGCCGTAACTCTGCGTGAACTAACGAGAGGAAAATTAAAGGCCAACCACCGACCGCCGCGAGCCAGGGCCGATTGTCAGGGGAAAATGCTCGATAGCGACCGCCCTGCCAACTTCCGGGCAAATCGCAGCTGCTATTTTCCGCGGGTCCCGATCTTCCTTTTGCCTGTCCCTCCCTCTTCCATATTTTTTCCTTTTCCGGAAATTATCCGGACACCCGGCACGCCTTCGGGGCGTAACGAGGCGGCGGTGCTCTTTTGTATATTTCATTTCGCCGGCCGGACGAATACCGATTTGCGCTACTTGCCCGCTGGTGCCGATTCTTCCCGAGAGAAATTGCGAAACTGCGCGAAGTTGCAGCGGGAGGGATGTGGACAGCGAGAGAAATATCCAATATCGCTCAGGGTCGTCTTCGAGGAGTTGCGAGAAAAAAGTGTTTGGGGAAGCTGGCTGGAAGACTACTTTCGCTGAAAACGTTTTACCCTCGTTGTTACAGCGGAATTAATAATTTAAAACCCTTGGATGAGAAGTGGCGTACTCCCATTTTTACGTATTAATTCATTGTCATATTTTTACCGATAACTCTTCTGCACAGGGTGTTACAAGAACGATGTACACGGTATATCAAACGCTGTCTTTGCTGCAAATGGAGTCGAAAAAGTCTTGTATTAGTTTTTTTTTCTGCCATGCACTGTTTACCTACAATATAATTAAGTGAAAAGCAGCCAATCAGGTACGTCGATTAGGGGAACGCGAATCGAAGGACGAGGACAATTTAAAAATCGTCTTAAGCTGTCCTTCCCTTACATTCGGATAGCAGAGCGTGGCTGATCCGCGTCCGGTTTATCGACGTGCTCGGTTGGTTACATTTCAATTAATTATTACAGGTACACGGTACACCGTAGAAAAAAAACTACAGAACCTGTCCACTCCATTTTCAACAAGAATAGCGTTGTGTAAGTCGTATTCGGGATTTTGATAACACCGTGCATACTTTTCTCCCCTAAGATGTCATGACAAATTTTCGACGGAATGTGCATCCCTCCCGAAACCCCTCATTTTTGATATCCTAACACAATGTACAATAACGGAATTATTCGAGGTCGCGAAAGTTATTGTTCCACCCCGGATCCCCGTCTGGGCACGAAGTCATTCGATTTCCTTCGTACGTATCGGACTCGGCTCTCCCAAAGTACCCTGGGGCTCCTCGAAGAGCTCGGCGTAAAGAGATTAAAGAAGTTACGTCGAATCAAACTCAGGTTCGCGCTTCTTCGCTGCAAAGTCGCCCTTTGATGCCGTTTAACGAACGTAAATGAGACAGTTGCTACTCGGACGAGTTTGTTTTATTAATGGCCGAGTCTCGAGGCGAGGCGAACCGGAGGACGCCTTTTGGGCTTCTTTCGGGGGTGTCGGAAGTCGGGAGAATCGAATTAACGCCGACGTGGCAGTCGCTTTGGTAGCTCCGGGAAGTCGTTTCCAAAGCCGAGTCGAAGTTCGCCCCGGGGATGAAATTCGCCCCCCGGGATGCCACCCGTTCCGGTAAGGTCTGTCGGGCGACATTAATTATTTACCGGTGGTTAGTGGTGGCCAGTTGTAGTTCCTCTTCCTGTCCGAGTCGCTCGACTTCTGCTCCGACTTGCCGATCTCGTTTAGGTTCGACTGGAACTGGCTCCCTGGAATGCACAAAACGGGGTCGTTGAATTGTCGGGATCCGCTTCGAGGGGATCGACTGCGAGGGAGCGTCGATCCGAGCACAAGTATAAATACCGATCGAGGTTGGGACTTTTTGTACGAGAATTGGGAAGTACCTCCATAGGTGGGGCCAGGGCGGTTTCCGAATGTCTGAGGGAGTCCGGATGAGGGGATGGCCATTGGGAGATAAGGGTCGTGATTGGCCCGATTGGGGAAGAAAAGATTTTTGGGGCTTGGTGGAAATAGAAGAGAGTAGGCGTGAAAGGTCTAAGACCTCCCAATAATACCTAAACCATAAGAATACTTTTGGTTGAGGCCTAAGATCGTACCGTTTCCTTTTTTCAACGATTTGCACAAAAAAAAAACGGCACAACTTATGTCTTACACTATAATAGAACACTGTAGAATTCAGAGAAGTTATAAAGTCTCTGAATAGATGTATTTGTAATGGGTGGAGGCGTAAGTTCTTGCGAGTCTTCTTGAAAGATCTGCACGAAATAATCGCAGGAATTTATACTTCAATCTGGTATATTAAAAGTCTGGAATGGTAATGATAATTGCATGAAAAAATACTAAGTGCACAATTGTTTAAAAATGGCACCATTACACGGTACGTCACGGCACACGGGGTTGTCGATAATGGTCGTTCATCGTTCGCTAACTACACCCTGGGTTATGATTCACTCCAATTGTCAACTCGTTCACTCGTTACCGTTCGCGCGATCAAGTTCAGTTCACTTGACTTGACTAAATGAGCTTAACTTGACGTCGCAACATTCTCGTTGACAGACCGTAATGGTGAATGATTCCGTGCTTCGGCACAAAGGGAGCCTGAAAGAGGGCGAAAGAATTAAGATCGGGGGTTGGTTGGAAAATAGAAGCTTTCCGGAGTTTGGAGGGAGTATGTAGAATGGAGAAGGCGTCAAACATCGAAGACCATCTAATAACCTATACCATGGGAATATGAATCAAAAGCCTTGTATTCCAATACTACTCGAGTGGAAATTTTGATTTTACCGAGAATCTCTAATTGTTGCTCATGAATGGGTTTTTTTAGGTAATATAATCCTCTGGAGTTTCCCGGCGATAGCAGTGGCAGCAGAATGTCCGCCATTGTAATTGTCAGGAGTCTCGTGTATAAACTGCATTGAATAAGCTGACTTCTGTTTAAACGAAACACTTAACATAATAAAACAGTGGAGTACAGGGAACTACACCCAAGCCCAAAAAACAAATATGGAAAACGAATGACGAAAAACACAATAAGATCTATACAGATACAAAGCCCGCGGGGAAAGTTCTGATAACGCCACGAGGAAATAACCTGCATGGAGAGTTGCAAGCTCCTCATGCTCATATAATCTACAAATTAGACGAACTCGATAAACGAAACAAAGGAGTGCTACATGGAACAGTTAAAGAACTACAAGAAACACGGTTCGAGTTGGTTAAGGTGTCCATTCGATACTGCAGGTCAAAAAAGCACCGCGAAGCGCCATTGCAACTAACCAACCACATAACCCTCTGTAACCCAATTTCTTTTTCAAGCCAAGAAAAACGTTTACAACTTGATATTCGTAAATATTAACCACCCGATATTAACGATTTGTTTATAAGTTTATAAAATTTGTTTATAAATCTATACAGATACAAAGCCCGCGGGGAAAGTTCTGATAACGCCTCGCCAACACACGGGGAAATAATGTGCATGGAGAGTTGTAAGCTCCTCATGCTCATATAATCTACAAATTAGACGAACTCGATAAACGAAACAAAGGAGTGCTACATGGAACAGTTGAAGAACTACAAGAAACACGGTTCGAGTTGGTTAAGGTGTCCATTGGATACTGCAGGCCAAAAAAAGCGCCGCGAAACGCCATTGCAACTAACCAACCACATAACCCTCTGTAGCCCAATTTCTTTTTCAAGCCAAGAAAAACGTATACAACTTGATATTTGTAAACATTAACCACCTGATATCAACGATTTGTTTATAAATTTACGATTTACATACATTTTTATCAATTCAAATGTTGATACATTTACAGTTTATGAATTAATTCCTTGGTTACAAAGGACTGGTACAAGAATGAGGCGGTGCATTAAGTTTTTCCGGAAAACTCAAATAAGACTTAAAAAATATGGATGTACGGGTATGTGACTTCAAAGTCACGCGGCGTTATACAGGGATAAAGCAGGGATTTTGCACATTCGAGGCCTCCTCTAAACTTTAAAAGTGATAGATATTTCCACTCTTTTACATTTAGACCTAAAGTAAAACTTAATTCCGATTAAGTAGTACGTACAAGATCGAAAGTCTATCTTGAAGAGTGGAACACTGCCAAAAGAAGTCTTATTTAGGTCACCCAGGTTCAAAGTAGGACTAAACTATCGATTAGGGTAACAACAAAAAAATAAAAATTGCCACGGTTTAAAAATAACACTATGACGTGCATGTACGGTACGTCACAGCACACGGGTCGTTGCCGTTAATCGTCGTAAATCGAGCCTTGACCATACCCTGGGTCACTTGATCCACCCCTACCGTCAACTCGTTTACTCGTCAAAGTTGGCGCGGTCAAGTTTAGTCCACTCGACTTGACTAAACCGGACTAAACTTGACGTCGCAACATCCATGCTGATAGCCCTTAACGGTGAATGAACTCCTCGCGTAAAGTTCCTCCCCCGGAACGATGGCCAGGTCGAGCCAAGGGGTGGAACGACGAGGACGCGAGAGAACAGGAGAGCGAGAGCCCTCGGAACTATCGGAGAGAAGGGAGGGAAGAGAGGGAGGGTGTTTCGTGTGCAAGGTTCGCACATGGTGGGAAAATTCCGAAATTGGCTCCGGACAAAGGGGTGCGTGGATGGCGACGGGCCTCTCGGCCGGTCTTCTCGCTGAAGATGTTTACGCCTCCGTTACGCGTAAACTGGGCGGCGGTGTGGTAACTAGTATGCAAACTCCGGGTAAACACGATTCTCTTACCCCCCCTAAGGCTCGTTGTCGCATCCCGTCCGTCAGGCCGCATCGTGTCCTCCGGCGTGACTCCGATGCCACTAGACGGCTATGCGTCACCCTGCATCACTAATTACGGTATAATGTACCTATAATGACACGGTTTACCGAATAAGGATGCCGTACTCCACATACCCTTTATTTTCTATTCGTATTTATTAGCTTGGTAAGAAAGTTACGCAGTTCTTCTGTTGATCCAATTGAAATGTTCATTATTCCGTTGTTCTTTGTGCGATTTAGAGAATTTTGGTATTAATCGAAAGCTAGTATTTCCACGTTTTGATTTTTGATATAACAGGTGTTTTATAATCATTAAATTTTGGGAAATAGAGGTATATGATGGATCAAGAAAAACTTCAATTTAGGCACTCTATGCTTTATGAGTTCCGATTTGGTCATAATGCGACGGAAGGTCATACAAATTTGTGTTTCGTCTTTGGAACATCTAAAGTTAAAGTGCGTAAGGTCCAAAGATGGTTTGAAAAATTCAGGTCAGGTGACATGAAGATTCAAGATGAACCTCGCACTGGAAGACCAAAGGAGGAGATGACGACGTTCTGAGGGCTTCGGTGGGTAATGAACCACTATTGACTACAAGGGAGATCGGGGATAAGTTAAGCACATAACAATTGAAAACCACTTGAACAAGCTTGGCTCTGTCTAGAAATGGTGTCGTTAGATTCCCCGTGAATTAAGCGAAAAAAATATGTCAGATCGAATTTCTATTGTTTCTTCTTTGCTTGCTCGACAATAATATGAGCCATTCTTGGATCACGTGGTTACTGGTGACGAAAAATGGATTGTGTATGACAACGTAGTGAGGAAAAGATCTAAGGTAATGCCAGGCAGTTCGCCTTCTATCCTTACAAAGGCCAATTTGCACCAAAAAAAGGTAATGCTTTGTGTTTGGTGGGATTGTCCAGGTCCTATCGACTGGGAAGTGTTGCAACCAGATAGAACTATCACAGCAGACCTATATTGTGATCAGCTAATCCGACTGCGTATAAAAATATGTGAATTTCGTCCAGCACTGTATAACCGAAAAGGTGTTGTCTTCCAACATGACAATGCCAGGCCTCACGTGGCTTTAAGGACGAAGGAGAAGCTCCAGGCTCATGGTTATGAAGTTTTATCATATCCACCACATTCACCTGACCTGGCACCATCTGACTACCACTTGTTCCTCTCGATGCAAAATTTTCTTAAAGGAAAAGAATTTAGAAATTTTCAGGATATTCAGAGGGCAGTGGTAGATTTCCTGGCATCAAAGGATAGGATCTTTTATACATCTGGCATAAATGACCTTCTTGACCGATGGAGGAAGGTCGTAGAATTCAATGGTCAATATTTAATTAATTAATCTCACTTATGAGCTTAAATATAAGAAATTGAAATATCCTCAAAGAAAACGACATAACTTTCTTACAAATCTAATAGCATACTTTGGTACCGAAACGAAGCACCAAAGAAGACGTCGCGCCACTTCCTTGCGAAGAGGTTCGAAGGGGTTAATATCGCTTCTGTCTCATCTCCGGTATTTTTATGTTATTAGGGATTTTTCTTATGGCGAGGTCACGTCCTCTCTGCCTTTCGTCCTCTTCGTGACCATATTCTCGCTAGACCGTAAGTAACCATATGCTATGGTCGACCGAGTTCGTGACTCGAGCCTTGGCGCGTTTAAATATTTGATGACGGTATTGTCAAATTGCTCTTTACTAAGTGTAAATATTTGGACTTGACGGCAGTCGTTGTTATCGGTTTGTCACAATGGTGGTCTAATGTCTAGATCGATGGATTTCTGATTTTTGATTTCTAAGAACAGGGTGTTAACGTTCCTGTCCAATCCTTCGGTTCGAAGGTGTTTGCGTCTCTCATATTTATGCAATTGGTGTGGAGATCCGAGTAAGCACGATGTTCGCGTAGATCATCTCCACGGGTCTTCGTTCACTGGCCAACTCGACGTATTTT